TATACAAAATGGAATGACAAAATTAACCTCATAAAGCAAACGTGCATATTATTGTACGTGCATTTAACAAATTAGACTTTGGAAAAGGAAATTAACGAAAGGAGTGTTTTGGCCGAGCATGATTCTCGGGAACTCCAATTATGGAAGGAACAAAAATGCTAACCGTAACTCATGATTGTGATCGACACTTGTCCAAGCAAAACAAACGAGAAGGTGCAAAGCTGAAGCAAGTTTAAACAAAGCATACGTACTAGCCGTGTACTTTTTGTTTTAGAGTAGGACACGAATGAAATTGCCGTGGAGTTGAGTTAGGTGTGAAGGGTATATTTGTAAACAATGTATATGTAATTGCTTTGTTAATGCCTTGAAAGAGTGCAATAAATTTGACATTTGTAATTGCTTTTGTGTGTTTGATCGAGTAGTGTGATACTAAATTTTCATATCATGCAATATTGTTTTGTACTACGTATAATATTTTTTTAAGAATGCAATAGTAACTCATTTGATGGCTTGCAATTAAAGGTTTCTTATTTTTAGTTAGTGCATTATTTTCAATAAAAAATCACTGCATAGTGTCAATGTTGGTTGGGAATTGGTAGTGCATTGTTTTCGATAAAAACTCACTGCACAATATCAATGCTTAGATTTGGTAGTACATTATTTCCAATAAAAACAACTGCACAATATCAATGTTGGGTTTATAGCATCGCCCATATAGCAAGGAAGTGTGGAGCCAACATCTACTGCTTCTAAACGTTCATCATCTAAATCATCTTGATTACTATCATCATTTTCAAATGACTCAGACAATTGTTGTTGATCAACCATTGGCCGTCATACCCGAAACAAACCCCAAATTAGATGGCAGAACTTGCCATGTACGAGTGAATTCAATGTTCTTGGAATTCCAATAACATACTGTTTACATATATGTAGGTCGTGTAAATCATCGGTTACCTTTATTACATACATATACTCCTTATTCTTAGGAAAGCTAACTGATACGCCGTGTGCATATTTGTTGTGCAAATCAATTCCATATTTTTAGGAAGAGTGATTAATTACTCGTTACTTAATATGGTTGAGGGCAACGATGGAATTAAAAAGGTTGGGAATGATCATGAGCCGTTTATGGGTAATACAATACGAAAAAACTAATGGGGTCATATGTTGGGAAACACATCATCTTTTAGTCACAAGAGGGGTAAATATCTCCTAAATAAAACAGGCTAATCTCGGTTATGCTCAATGATTTCGTGCTATTAGGATTTCGTGGGTGTGTGTGCGAAAGTTCAAGATCTCGGGTCAACGGATTTCGTCAGGCTCGAGATCTTCTTCGTTCTTTTTTCTTCTTCAGAATCACCGAAGCAGTTGCAGGCCTTAAAATATACGACCTTCGTACAGGCCAAATCAAAACTTTTTCTGAACGAATTCTCACATATATGATTTGCAGTTCTTTACCTCTGCTTCTCAAAAAAATAAGAATACGCAAACAGGATTTATTCATCAATGGCAGATGCGAAACGAGGCTTTGGAGATATAATCAATCAGATACACGCTAGGCTCTGATACAAATTGTTAATGAATCTCAACGACAATCACACGATCAACACAATAATAATATTGACAGATTAAAACAACTTTCATAGAATATTTGAGAATGATGATGACTGAACAATACAAAGTATTCTACGAAGCTCTTCGATCTCAATGTGCCGCTACAATAATATTAGGACTTTATGAATCAGCAGTGCAATTCTAGATCAATAGGTTGTACGATTAACCTATGACCCTTTAAATAGGTGAGGTTAATCGGACTCCTAATTACACAAGGATGAGTCATATGAACAATTAAATGACACCTAATTAGTAACAAAGCCCACTAATTAAATCTAATAAACAAAGACAAACATGATTAAACCGAACACAATAAAATATGTTCTAACATCATCATCATCACCACCACCACCACCACCATTATACAGTGTAATTATAAATATAATTATAGAAATAAATACTATAATTATAATTACAAATATAATATAGAAATAAATATAATTTAAAATGTAATTACAACTATAATTATAGCTATAATTATAATAGGTATTGATGGAGCATATAGCCCAGGAACCATCGGCCCACATACTTTCACTGCTACAAACAGACCCAACAGGGGCAAGTGGCCCAAACACAACAAACAAGACTCCGGGCAGCCCATACTACAACAAGGTGTTGCCTTCAGCCCCATACCCGAAGGCTCCATATTCGGGAAACAGTTACACCTGGTCCAGAAACATCATTAGCAACCAAGGCTAAAATTACGAGCCTTCGACATTTACAGCCTTCGACACATGAAGGCCCCGATACGTACAACCTTCGGCACATGACGGTCCCCGGGGGACGTACGACCTTCGACACATGAAGGCCCCCAGGGTACGTACGACCTTCAGCACATGCCGGTCTCCCTGACTGCGTACGGCCTTCGGCACATGAAGGGGCCCGGGGTACGTACGACCTTCAACACATGACAGTCCCCGACTACGTACGACCCTCGGTACATGAAGGCCTTCGGGGTACGTACGGCCTTCGACACTACACCAACAAGATCTCCTCTATGCATGCGCTGAATCACCGCATTAAATGCAGCGTGACATCCGAACCACCGCATTGAATGTGGCCACATGCAATATCGGAGCCACCCTGGCTGACTTGACCCTCCATCGTTGGTTGCTTGATACATGTACTTGCATTAATTACACCACATTTATGGCAACTATAAATAGCTAGCCACTTCTTCATTGTAAAGGATTCGATCGAACTTTTGAGCTCATTTAATACACATCTACTCTCTCTTACTTGCTCTGACTTCTCTCTAGATACTCTTCAGCGGTATCCCGGATATACTATCCGTCAGGTATAGTAATAATTATACATATTACTCCGTATAATTTTAATTATAATTGTGATTATAATTTTAATTGATTTTATAATTATGATTATAATTATAATTATATTTATAATTACAATTATAATTATAACAATTATAATTATAATTTTAGAAATATTCAAATCAGATCCCATCAGAAAGATTCAGATTAGATCAGAAAGATTCATATGAGACCAGACCAGATCATTAAGATTTAGATTAGATAAGAAAGATTCAGTTGCTATACCGTGGGAGCAGCCCACGGTGAGCATGCTGCTCCTAGGCAAAAAACGTGTGTTACTGTTCACGCGTGAACAATAACTCCTTTTTTGTTTTTTCAGTATCCAGTAGCAGAGTGATGTAACTCGCGTTTAAAGAAATGTAACTCACGCTGATAAGAAATGTAACTGCAGGCAAGTCAAAATGTAACGGGTCTAATACGGATTATAAGAAATAAAACATTGATTTCCATGAAAACAAGGAGTCTAATAGTTCAATTATTTTATGTAAATAGTGAATACGTTTTGTTTTTAACATTAAGGCCATAAATAATGTTTTTTCCTTAAATTCTTATTTTTTTGGCCAAAAATTCATTTTTTCCGCCAAGAAATCGTTTTTTTTCTTGCAAAAAAATCATTTTTTTTTGTTTCTATAGCATGAGTTTAGTTAAATAGTGAATATGTTCTGTTTTTAATATGAAGGTCATAAAAAAATTAATAATCACTTTTTTGCCACATAAATCGGTTTTAACCAAAAAATTATATATTTTTTTTGCAAAATAAATAAAATGATTCTTTTGTTTCAATAGCAGTGCTTTATGTTGCGATGTAACTTATGTTATAGAAAATGTAACCCACTTTGATCAAAGATCTAACTTAGATGTACACAAAATGTAACTTGTTAAGGTAAGTCTAAATGTAACTCGCGTATAGAAAGCTGTAACTCACTCATAAAAAGATGTAACTCGCGTATAAGAAGATTTAACCCATATATTATCAAATGTAAACAATAAAAATAAGGAGTCTAATTGCTTAAATTATTTACATAAATAGTTAATATGTGTTGTTTTTGTATTATGTCCATAAAAATGTTTCAAAGGAAAATATTTTTTTTTTGCCAAAAATATTCATTTTTTTGCCGAAAATCATTTTTTTGTTCAAAAACAAAAAATCATTTTTGTTTTTAAAAAATTGATTTTTTGGTTTCAATAGCTGGAGTTTATTTTGTGATGTAACTCATGTTATAAAAAATGTAACTCGTGTTGAAGAAAAATCTAAATTAGGTTATGCAAAATGTAACTTGTTGATGCAAATCTAAATGTAACTCACGCATAGGAAGATGTAACTCATGCACAACAAGATGTAACTCACCTATAAGAAGATGTAATTTCATATACATAACTCACACATATGAAAAATGTAACATAATTTCATGTTTTATGAAATTTAAATCGAAAAAATCAAATTTAATGTCTTAAAAACATTAAAAACATATCAAAGAGATAAGAATTTTTTTTTACAAAGAGATAAGAAATATATTATAGAAAAAAATTTATGAACATGAAATATAAAAAATATTAAAGAGAAAATATATTCTATTGTAATTTCAGTTGAAGATAAAAAAGTAGAAAAAATGTAGGATTATGAAATACAACATACTTATTTTAATGTGGATTAATAAAAGTTTGTAATAATTTGATAGAGAAAAATATAAATTCAATTGTGTTTAATTAGTTAAAGATAAAGATAAGTAAACTCACAAATAAATTTTTAATATTTTTATGTAAAGGAGAAAAGAATTGAAGAAAATAGAAAAGAAAAATAAAGAGAAGGAAACTAGTAACCTGGAGCAAAAAAGAAAGAAAACTTACGTAATACAGAGTATTAGATTGGTGGGAGAGTGAGAAGACAAAAATGGTACCGTATGGGGATGTTGGACCGATCCCATGGTATAATTTGCCGAAAGATTAGATTAGATCACATCGAATCAGAAAAATTTAAATCATATCAAATCAAATTTAAAAAATTCAGATGAGATTTAAAAGAAGATGGAGTTTAGTTTTAACAATTACTACGTATATCCAAAGTTCCAAACACCCTGTACTATTCAAGTTTTTTTATCATGGTTTGCTTGCTGACCTACTTTTCTCTTTTAATTTTATTTTTTTGTTGAGATCATGGAGAACTGGAGAGCTACCAGTCATATGCTGAAATGGTGCTCTAAAAAACTCTTTGATCGACAATCACGTTGCCGAGTTTCAGGTACGGCTACCTTGCAGTACTTTCCGATACAATATTATAGCCAGCTCGACTGTGTATGATACCAAGCGCAAACTGTTGGCTTTTATTTAGTGATAGACATTTCATCACAATCTTCTTCTTCTTCTTCTTTTTCATTTTCTCTAGATTTGTTATGATTTTCCGGAGTTAATGCCATAGATGGCTGTAGTTCTGTAAATTTGTTGGGACTTGGGAGGTAGTCTTTTTTATCCCTAGCACGCACACTCAAAGAAGAAAAATAGTTAAAATGATTGGCCAAGCGTAGGAAGTCGATGTATTAGGGGCACTTGGTGAAGTAAATAATGTTTATGAGGACATCACCATTTTAGAAAAGTTTTCAATTTAAGACTTTATCATCAATCAAAGACCCGGGGGTGAAGACAGGGAGGGGCTGGTGCAAGAAAAAAATTCTTAAGTATATATTATGTATAAATACTTTGAATCTAGAGAAAATATGTTGATATTTTAAAACTTGGCCCCGACAATGTAAAATTCTCAAAGCTCGGCCCCCTTAACCATCGATTTCTGGCTCCGCCATTGCAAAGACCTCAAAGATAAAATATATCCGTTTAGGGCTTGAGTGATTGAAACTATCCATCAAAGGCCTAAAGTATCATATATTCATATATTTTGATTTCTTTAGTTTTTATTTATTTTATTGCTAATTAGTTTAATAAAATTAAATAATATTTTTAAGTTAAAAAAGATTGAATATTTTAAGTCTTAGACAGATAATTTTCAATCATTCTTGACCTATCCGCAATTTTCATATAGTCTCTCTTTCAGATCCGAGTCCCCTAGATTGAAAAAATCAAATTCATTTACCCAATGCTCAAAACAAGAAGCTACCATACCGTTTACAATTTTAAGTGGTATACTTATGGAAAATAGGAGTGGTGATCAGATGGGGGGTATAATGTTTGTTGCATAACTATTAACTATATCTTGTATGTACTGGATTGCAGGTTGTATCTATGATTTTGTCAGACGTTTTGGATCACTAAATCCTTATGTTGTCAATTACCAAGAAAACAACCACACACATTGTCATTCGGTATATTACCTGCGTACAAATTGTTGGAAGCGTGGCAGTGTACAGTCTAGAAGTTTTTCATCAGAATCAACTGTAATCCACAGGAACCCAAATTTTTCAACAATCAACTCAGATGACATTAGTCATTTCAAGAAGATATCAGGAGAAAGCGGTGTGGTTGAAGATGAGGACACACTTAATGCTGTAAACATGGATTGGTTGCATAAATACAAGGGTGCAAGTAAGCTTATGCTCCAACCTAGAAGCACCAAGGAGGTTGGCTTTCTTTCGTTAAGCTTTAGTTACTTGCTGGATGAAATGTGTATATATATCTCCAGCCTTAGCGCTTGTCATGGGCTTGTATAGGTATCTCAGATTCTTAAACATTGCAATTCCAGATGCCTTGCTGTTGTTCCTCAAGGTGGAAATACAGGTCTTGTGGGAGGGAGTGTTCCCGTGTTTGATGAGGTAAGACTCATGTTTGTTTATTAGAACCATTGACTCCTTGAGAGTGTACCGATAACCCATGTCAGTAGGTGCTGTAGCGTTCTTGATGGATCACCTAGCTAGTTCTGATTTCAAATACATACTATTTTCTTGAAGACATGAAAAAGCAATCTGGAATGATTTATTATGAGGCAATATGGCGATGCCTAGTTAAATTATACTTCCTCGTCCACGTGTCCCAATAGTGCTTTCACTTTTGTTGTACTCATAGTCAATCCTGCCTTGACCCTCATGATTATTAGCCAGTTATGACTTAAAATACAGACTTGAAGACATGAAAATAGCAAACTGGAATGATTTATTATGAGGCACTATGACGATGTCTAGTTAAATTATACCACCGTCCATGTGTATCATTACTCCATTAGTGCTTTCACTTGTGTTGCACTCATGGACAATATCATCAGACTGCCAATATACGATATGAGAAGTTTAATTTTTGAGATAAAATGAATATTTTCCTAGAATCCGTAACCTCAAAGTTTCAAAGAAACTTGTCCTGCCTGGACCCTTGTGAGGCAAACAGGGTGGCAGGCAGGCAGGTGGGGGGGGGGGGGGGTCTAGGGAATAGTAGTCAAAACAGTAGATGCTGTCATCCCCCTGTTACTGCAGATAAATATTGGTTATCCTTCGCGAGTTGAAAAAAGAAACTGATGACACCTACAGAACAGCTCATCCTCACTACTTTGTTGGTGTTAGTGTTGCTATTTTTAATTTTCACAACAGAACTTAAAAATCATCGCATGGAATAATGGACTGATCAAGATCGAATATAATGTTATTTCACCTATTACTGTTGTGGTGGTGGTGGGGGCTATTAGTGAGATACATTATGGAAACAGGTGAACATTACAGTTGTTCATAATTTTTTTTAGATGTATTATGTCAAAATTTAGGAGCCCCTGGATTGTACACCCTATTGTGGCCATAGCCTATTAGGTTGGAGTATTTTAGTAACATTGTATCTTTTTGTATTTGAAAACCTCACAGGTGGTTATCAATCTTGGCTCCATGAATAGAATAATTTCCTTTGACAAGGTAAATCAACTTTATAGATTCATTACCTTTCTTCTTTATTGTGAGTGATTAATTTGAGAAAGGCCAATTCTTTCTGGCATGATCAATTTGTCTCATCAAGGTCTACACCTACATATTTGATCATAAGATTCCTAATACTGTAGGATCTAATTACTTCTTGTAACCTTTGCAGGTTAGTGGTATACTGGTATGTGAAGCTGGCTGCATTCTGGAAAACCTGATTTCATTCCTAGATAACCAAGGGTAATTTACTCTCACCAACCTTGAAGGTTGATAACTTAGGCCTTCTACTGTTGGTTATTGTTCTATCATTTGTTCATACATCTATTCTGTCTGTTATCCTCATTGAGAAAAAGCTTCCTTGATGTGCTCCATGCCTCCATCACCATTACTATCAAGTGCAGTTCACTAAATACCATACATATTCCTCTTAAAAACAGTATTATCTCTATGAGATAAATCAGATAATTGCCAGGTCAAGCACACTCCAATGATTTATGAGATAGAACATTGCTTGAGTGCATGTGTCATGGGTTTTCACTTTGGTATATTCCCCATACTTCTTAAAACAGTATTACATGTTCGCATTTTCTTTTTAATCTTTCCTTTTTCCACAAGATTTGTAATGGTGTTGGATGAGTCCCTATTTAATCATCTGCCATGCTAAAAAGATGAGCTCTCTCTTCTGTTAGGTTTGTTATGCCACTTGATCTAGGAGCTAAAGGAAGCTGTCAAATTGGTGGAAACGTCTCAACTAATGCTGGTGGATTGCGACTTCTTCGTTATGGTTCACTCCATGGGAATGTTCTTGGTGAGTTACTGGCCTCTACATTTATGTGTCTTGTTTAGTGAACTTTCATGTTACTTTTTTCTTAACAAAAAGGAAAATTTATCAATGAGCAAAAAGCTTAGACCCCAATTATAATCTTAGAGAAACATAATTTCTTGAAACATATATATTGAATAAAACAACTTACTGGTTCTGCATAAAGGACTTAAAAGGGGATCCGGGTAGTACCAGAGCTCCCACAATATGTGGGTTCCAGGAAGAGCTGGACCTACTTAGTGCATCTAATATAGGCAGCCTGACCTTGCATGTGCAAGAGACTGATTCCACAGCTTCAACCTGTCATTTCCAGTTACATGGCAGCAACTCCAACTATTGCGTCAAGGTTTCCTTTCATCAAAGAGCTTCTAGGGTCATCCTTTATAACCCAAAAAGGCTCTTAGTCAGGAAATTAATAAAAGAAAGGCGGATCAGACTGAAAGTCAGACATAAAGGAGCTTAGAAAAACTCAAATCACTCAGCAAGTTTGAGCAAACACATTGGGGATGGCCTTGGAGTAATCCTTTCGTTTGACTTTCCTTTTTCTAGGTTCAACACAAATGAAGTCTAAAGGGTGTACACTTTTTGGATATCTTCTCATCAAAGGATTTCATCATCATCATCATCATCATCATCACTCTAGTGCTTCAAAGGCTCCCACCTTCAGTGGAATTAGGGGATCAGATGTACGCAGTCTTACCCTTGTACTAATGCACAAAGAGATTGTTTCCGGATCACCCATAGTGAAAATCGCGTCGCAAATTGCATGGACTGATTGCTGCTTCATAACAAAGAAGTGCAGACAATTTAGTGAGCCATTTTGCTTTATTTCATCAAAGGATTTCATCTGATTAACAATAATTTTTCTTGGCTTCAAATCTTCAATAGCATATGACAATCACCTTCGAGTTTCTGGTTCTTCTTCATAAAGATTGTCTGCTGAAGATGCTCTTTGTTATCATCCACAAGTCTTGACAAGTTTCAGCAAACTGAACAACTGTTCTTTCTCAGTTAGCAATAGGAATTCTTCAGGCACAGTCTCCATCAGATTCGTGAGGCCATGGGACTAGACATCAGAGTGATAGGTACTCTGATCTCGTAACAGTAAAATAGTCACTATTATTGGACTGAATTGCAGAAAAGAGGAAGACGATACAGACAGGGCACTTCGAGAGGCCTCAACTCTCCCAGATCCCAAATTCCCCAATCCAAAATCTGCCTACCTTCTTATTTCTCCCTCCCTTCTATTTATACTTACTTATGGGCCAACCCAAAACTAACTAGTACCTGGCCCAGGACCCTTTAATACACTCACAATTATTTAATATACTTCTATTATTATTAGTATTATTATACTAATGGGTTCCTATCATATCTCCGCCCTTAGACAACCACCTTGTCCTCAAGGTGGGTGATAGGAAACAGCCTTAACTCTTGACTTCATCTTCATTCTGGCACCTCTTCCTTCCCAATACATCATTGCATTCTGGATCATTAGCTTCAACACTTGAATCTTCTTCCATATGTACTTCACAGTAGGGAGAAACAGAAACAAGGACATGGTGGCATAAGGCTCCTTATTGTTGTATAGGTTATAACATTCCAACATCAGCATCTATCCTTGTAACCTTGGCTTTTCTTCCAACATCTTTTCCAGGAACTTGATTATTTTAGATTCTGCATGATTTTTAAAATTGTCAACAGCACCAATCTCTTTTATTTCATCAACCTTCTCTTCGACAATGTTACCAAGAGCAAAATTATCAGCCCCTTTCAGTCCCATATCTGAGGAGTCCAAGGATAGAAACACGACAAACTTGTATTCATTAGCATCCCAAGCCGAATGAGATGACAGAGATGTCCCATTCATCAATTGGCCTTGTGGAAGGGTGCCCATAGGAACTGGAGCCACACCTTTCCTAGTCATCAATTGGTCCATAGTGAACGCATCCTCAGCGGATGGTTGACTCCAGCTAATAGGCTCCCGACCAAGCGATGGAACTGATGGATTGTGATAAGCAGATTCTTCACAACTAGCAGCCAGAATAGTGTGTCCAACATGAGGTTCAGACGTTCAGTACGAGAGTTCATAGAAGTGAATTGTGAGAAAATTTCCCCGCCAACCAGTTCTGGTTGAACCCTTCGAATCACAGCTACCAGGAAAGACTCTCAGTTACGTTCATCTGTAACAACAGTGTATGAGCTGAGGATTCCCTCCAACTTCTTGGTAGGCTTTAATATTTCAATTCCCGGCATATGTCCAAGAGGACAATTCACTTTTGCACCTATAGCAAAATTCCCTCTCGTACAGAGACTGTCAACAGTAATCACCCTCTCTTTTTCTTCCCTCACAAACTTGTCATTTGAATTATTGATAACTAGTCCTTCTAAGGCACTGGTCTGTGAATTATCCTTCATCACTTGCTTTGCCAGAACGGGATGCTCCACTTGGACTGGTTCTAATTTACTTGAACACCTTCCATTGTCTTCCTTCACAGGCATGTTCACATCCTTCTGAATAGTTGATGGAGATTCCGTAGATTCAATACTCTCCTCATCATGCTCCAGTTCCGGAACTGGTTGTGCAACATACAAGCCCTCTTCGGATTCTACAGGGTCGATGGTTCTGGATGCGGAGGACACTTGCGCTCTGGGAGAAGCCAATGGCGACCAACCCTGTGTACTGAGAATAGTGGTTCGCGAACTGGGAAAAGTGGTTCGCATCTGCGAACTTGGAGAAATAAACGACGATGTTGACTGCGAAGATTTTTGCGAACTGGAAGGATAAGATAGCGTTGAACTCTGTGATTTCGAACTGAAAGAGTGAGTTCGCGATTGTGAGCTGGTAATTAGGGTTCGCGGTTGTGAACTGATATTTTTCTCTTGCGATATAGTATGCGAACGGGGAGAAAAGATTTGCGATGAAGATGATTGAGGATAAACATTTCGTGACGAAGCTTTAGAGCTTGAAGTTGATACTGAAGCCTGCAAACTGTGAGATGTTGTTGGCGATGACTTCTGAGATGTTGAAGGTCGCGTATGATGACGATGATGGGATCGCGATTTTCCTCTCTCGCGAAGTTCATCACTCAGCGCATCCATCTTTACTGCGATGTTTTCCATCATTGTTTTCATGTCTGTTAAGTTCTTCTTCATCGATGTGTGATGCCTCTCCCACTAATCCCTCATATTCTCCAGCGAATCCATCTTATGCTCTGATACCGTTGATAGGTACTCTGATCTCGTAACAGTAAAATAGTCACTATTATTGGACTGAATTGCAAAAAAGAGGAAGACGATACAGACAGGGCACTTCGAGAGGCCTCAACTCTCCCAGATCCCAAATTCCCCAATCCAAAATCTGCCTACCTTCTTATTTCTCCCTCCCTTCTATTTACACTTACTTATGGGCCAACCCAAAACTAACTAGTACCTGGCCCAGGACCCTTTAATACACTCACAATTATTTAATATACTTCTATTATTATTAGTATTATTATACTAATGGGTTCCTATCACAGAGTTGAACAAAACACAACATTATAGGAATTCTTGGCTTCAACTGGTGTGTAACTAATTGCGGCCTATTGTTTGATCAGAAATAGAGCGGATTGGGGACGCTTAAGCATATAACCGTATCTGCCCCCTTGGGTAACTTTCCCGCCCCATAACTGTCCCATTATCCAATGAGCAATTTTATCCAAACCACAACCACCCCAACGGGTAACGGTTAGAACCTTGGGTAACCGTTTTATTAAATGACTCATTGATATTTTAATATAAAAATTATTATTTTAAGAGGAAAATAAATGGCATTATCTACAAGACAAGAAATAAGGCAACCTAAATTAATTTGAACCTTAAAATACTTACATTGAAAAATACTCCCTCCGTCCCGAAATTAACTTCCCACTTTCCTTTTCAGGCAGTCCCAAAATTAACTTCCCACTTCCTTATTTGGCAAATTATCTACATCAAAACAGTGGAAAACAGTGTCAAACAGTGTCGAAACCGTGTCAAAACAGTAAAATTTACCCCCCAGTAAATTTATTTCCTTAATATGTGTGAAATCAAAGTGGGAAGTTAATTACGCGACGGAGGGAGTAATTAATCAAGAAAAAATATGATTATAAAAAATTGAGACTATTCAAATCAATTATGAACTTTCATTCATACTTGCATTATAATTAGACCATAGTAAAAATCTCATCTTTTATTAATTGTGGAATAAATAATAGAAAAAATGTAATAACAATATAACTAAAAATAAACGGGGCGGGTAATTGGGCGAGCATGCATAAAACCATACTCGTTAAAATAAAACGGGTATTCCCTGCCTCATACCCATTACCTCATACCCATGACGTGGTCAATGCGGTTTTCCCCATTTTGACCGGAGCGGTTTAGTGCGGGCATCCATCGGATCGGTCACAATTGCCATCCCTATACAGAAATGTGTGGCAGTCATAATCATTCTTGGTACATAGGATCTTGGGTTGCTTTAGTAAGGTAGATATCAGCCTATAATAATCCATTCCTCTTGGTGAATTCCTCAAAAATCTTATCCAACATCGTTCCTATAACCGAAAGAGGATCACCAGCTGTGACTGCAAGGTGTTTACCCTTCTTTGAATCTGATTTTTCCATTCTTCTCAGATTGCTTCACGCCCACTGCGCACCTACAATAGTAATCATCAATTTAGATGCCCCAAGAGACTACAAAAGAGCTGTTATCGGATACTTGCTCATAAATGACTCTCGAAAACATGAATTTTATCATTCCCTATTCTAGTTTTCTATAACTTGGTTATGCCATTTCAACACATATTCAAGCAAGGTTAAATGGTTAATTTTAGTTTAGGTCTTGGTAGGATTATCAATTAGACAAAGTGATTTAGAGCCTCTTTGGTAGCACTGAAATTGACTGAATCAACTGAATCTTCTAAAAGCGGTGAAATTCTGGTTGAAACTGCTAAATTGGCTTA